CTGTCCGGCCCTGTTCACCTAAGCAGGGAACAGATATTCTTTCACAAGCATCTATATAGAATAAAGTATATTACTTATTTTCATCCACTAGGGAAAGCATCTTTTTATTTTCAAAATTAAAAAAGGTGTTTCTGTTGTAAAAAAAAAAAGCCAGTAAATTACTATTGCAGAAATTTCAAACTACCAGATAGTGGAAAGAAAATAAAACATACTTGCAATTCTACCATCTGGAGATGGCCACTGTTTTGTGTTTTTTTTAATATATATATTTTTGTATGTGTTCATTTGGGCATCTCCATGTATACTAAAAGTGATTGAATAAAATTTTTATTTAATGAACCATTTAAATGCACTGTTGTATTTAACCCTTTAAAAATAGAATTGTTGTTCTTTAATCTGCTTTTTCAGCTAAATAATATTTCATTTTTTCTGTGTCAATAAATACAGCTCTATATTATTTTTAAGCAGTTGCATAGTTCTCTCTTGTATGGCTGTATCATAATTTAGTTAAGGGTCCCTATTAATCCTTCTTCTAGATTGTACCTGTCTTTTTGCTGTTAAATAAATATTGCAAAGAATAGTTTTGTGTGATATTTTGTATTACATTTGTCTCATTAGATTTAAAACTTGGAAGTGTATTATTTACATTTAACTCATCCATTTGGAACATGTTATTGTATGTAGTGGGAGCTTTCTCTACTTTCTCATATGCTCAGTCAATAATTCTAATACTGTTTATTGTAAACTGCTTGATTGTCTTGATGATTTAAAAATGCTGTTATCAAATATTAATTTCCCATGAAAATGGCTCTCCTCTATACCTGTGCCAATGTTGCACTGTCACCAATACCATAGCAAGTTCCCAAGTGTGGCTTTGAGACTTAAAACCTAGAACCTCCAATTTCTGTAGCCACCTGCCTGTCACCTGCTGGGTTAAGGTTCTGCCTAGGTTGTTCTGCACACAGTAAATCTCAACAACATTGTCCTGCAGAATGAAACATAGAGGGTCTTCTGTCCTGCAGCCCTGATTTGCAGTAGAGTAAGCGGTCTATAAATAGTTGGCTTCAAAAACTGGTATCCAATACATTTAGCTCAAGAAGAGGAGGGTTTATTTATTATAAGTCTACAATATAAGACTTCAACAACATGACTCTAGGAGGTCTTTTATTGCCCTGGTTTTGGGTATGAGGAAGCATAATAATGACTTGGTTCCCAGCCTGAATTGTCAACCAGTTGAGAAGATAAAAAGTAAGAAACAGGGCAGGCAAAAATATATCTTTATTTCTGATAAAGCTGATATTGGAGAAGGTGGCTTATATCTGCAGCCAGGTCAGCTTCTAAATACTGCGCCTGGACATAAGGGAGACACACTCAGATCTCACTACTTGTGCTGGACCACAGCCACTGCCCTGGAGCTGGTCCCCCTCACAGAGGCAAATAGCCAAAGAGGACAGTTGCTTTCTGTGGGAAGTAGACTCCTAAGAGGAAGGGGAAAGGAGCTCAACAATCTCAGTTTCTTCTTTCAAGTTCACCTCACTAGAAAGGGGAAGGGGAGGTACAGCAAGAGGTGAGGCACGTTAACATGAATGGAGTACCCTCCATATGAAGGGAGCACAAGTTCTCCCTAAGTCTTTGTGGAAGGGCTTACCCTGATTTAATCAGGTGTGGCTTATGGAGCAGTGGTTACAGGGTATAAGTCAGGATATGGCAGTTGGAGGCTCAGGATATGGATAAATCTAGGATAGTGCTATTATTAGTTTTAATTTTTAGGACCATCCCCATTCTTAAATGAGTCCTGTTCTTTCTTATTTCTTGCCTTTCATGTATGCCTGGAATATCTTTCTTGCCTACCATCATCACTGTCTTGGTTTTTGCCACACTCCCATCCTTCCTTCTGGTCTCCCTTGCTTGAGAAAGGAAGGTCTGAGAAGGTCTCCCACCTTGCATAAAAGCATGAATTAAGTACCTGCCTGTCTTCACAATGCCCTATACTAACACGTGGGATGCTCATGCCTTGTTTTACTTCCTATTCACTGTTTGTCTTTCCCATGAGAATATAAGCTTCATGAAGACAATTCACATTTTTTGTTTTTATCTCCCAACATGGTACTTGGACCATTGATGAATATTTGTTCAGTGAATTTATAAAGGGATGTTGTGGAACTTACCTTCTTATTATTTAAAAAATATTATCATAGTTTTAAAACCTTAAAATTGGTGACCGACAATGATATCCCCAAACACAAATGTATAGGAAAAATGATCTTAAAAAACATTGTCATCTAATGACTTATAAAATGACTTTTTGAATTTTTATATTAAAAGGACTAGTTAGGTCTACTTTTTATATTTTACAAAAACATAAACTACAAAAACAATCTGTCCTGAACATATTTGAGGGGTTTTTATATACAGGGAGAAATTATTATGCACGTAAAACAGCAGTATCTGATGGCTGGGAACTTTGTATTTTCTCTTACCTCTTGGGCATTTTTTTTTTTTGGTTTTTCTTCCTTTAGATGTAAGAATATTTTCACTGTTTCTTTTTGTGGTTTCAGAGAGTTGTGTTTTAGGGAATTGGTAAAAGTTCTTAGTTTGGGAAGTTGACAACAAGCATAATTTACTCTCTTAAAATACTTACTGATTTAAACTGTTATATTTGGTTGACTATAGTGAAAATTAAGCCTGGCTACATAACAATAGATGTTGGGATTGCATTTTCTGGTTCATAAAATTTTGAAGGGAAATTTCCAAGATTAAAAATGATAAGCATATTAAGCTTTAAACAAAGCATTGGGATACAAAAAATTCATTCAATAACATAACTGTTAGATGTTGTCATTCTGCTTTTTAGAGTTTTCTACTCCGACAAGATGCCTACCATTGCTGGCTGCTAATTTTCAAATTCATTTATGTAGATCACAGTCAAACAGAGCTTTCTGTGAAGATAGAAATGATCTATAATCTGCGTTATCCATTATGGTAACCATTAGTTACATGGGGCTATTGAGACTCAATGTGGCTGGTGCAACTGAGGAGCTGAAGTGAGGAGCCAAATGCGGTGTGCACATAAACATTTTGCACATGCCTTTCTCAACTGTTTAGGCTGATTGGTAATTCTTGTAGGAGTTACAGATGAATTACACAAATGTGTGCAAATTGAACAAAACAGGTTGTCAAATCTGAATAGATGGAACAAAGAGAGCCTTTTATCTTGACACACAAACAGCATTTTAAGCTTCCAGTGGTAAATTGTGCATTTCAAATAATAATGTTACTATCTTCCTAAGACTTAAAATTTCTAAGATTCGATGTGTCTTTAATCTTTGTTTTCTATGATAATCACAATAGCCTTAAATTGGGATTTTTTGATGCTAAATTAATGAAATAAGAGAGGCTTCATTTTCTTCTGCTTTTTAGGCTTTTCTACTCAGACAAAATGCCTACCATTGCTGACTGCTTATTTTCAAATTCATCTGTGTAAATCACACTGTCTAATAGTGCTTTATGTAAAGATAGAAATATTCTATAATTGTCAGTATCTGTTATGGTAGTAATTAGTTACATGGGACTATTGAGTATTCAAAATGTTGCTGGTGCAACTGAGGAGCTAAATTTTAATATCATTTAATTTTAATTAATTAAAACTTAAGCCTGGTGCAGTGGCTAACACTTGTAATCCTAGCTACTTGGATGATGGCGATTAGGAGGATCAAGGTTTGAGGCTACTTGGGCCTCAAAGTTTGTGAGACCCCATCTCAATCAAAGCGTGATGTGGTGGCATATGTCTGTCATCCCAGCTACGCAGGAAGTATAAATACGAGGTTTACTCTTCAGGCTAGCCTGGGGCATAAATGTGAGACCCTATCTCAAAAATAACCAAAAGCAAAAAGGGCTGAGGGCATGGCTCATGTGCTAGAGCAAGTGCAAAGCCCTCAGTTCAACCCCAAGTGCCACCCAAAAAACAAACAAAACAACCAAAAACAACAACAAAAAACTTAGGCAGCCGCATATGAGTAGTAGCCATAGTAAATCTTCCAGTTTTAGATTTAGTATGGATTTAAGTCTGGAAAAGTTGACTTTTTATGAATTCATCTGATGTATTTCATAGACATTTATTGAGCATTTAGTGAATTTGTGTGCCTGGTGCCAGAAATGTTTCCTTCGGATTTTCCAAATCAGCATTTAGGAGAAGATGTGGAGAGCTGAGATGTGTCATTCCCATACACCTGTGCAAACCAGACTTTGCTAAGAGGGGCCCTGCTATTTCAACAGGAGCTGACTCTCTTTCCCCCTGAGCTCCAAGACCCACCATGGCAGAGCTATCATCTACTGGGCTGAGGGCTTCCTCTAACTGGCTGTTAGCTCTGGCATGACAGGGCTACATCTTCTGAGAGGAAGGGACACCTATTTGAAGTTTTTCAAAGATACCACATGGGCAGCTAGTGTGGCCTTGTCACTGAGAATCATTCCCTCAGCTTGCCCTACTGTCTTAGTTATTCTTGAAATTTTCCTCAACAAATCTTTGGTGGAAAAAAATCAATCAACTCTTCACAATTACCTAATACTTTGTCTTTTTCCCCCACCTTTATATTGGTGGCAAAATTGTATACATTCAAGGTGTTTATCACACTGTGCTTTTGATTTGCATTTCTCTGATGATTAGTGATGCCGATCACTTTTCCCCTATACTTATTGGCCATTTGTATGTCTTCTTCGGAAAAATGTCTAATTCATGTCCTTTTTCCAATTTCTTTTTTAAATGGGAAAGCAACCTGAAATGGAGAAAATATTTTGCAAACCATGATAAGGGGTTATAAATACCCAAAATACATAAGAAACTAATATAAGTCAACAGAAAAAAAAACCCAAAACAAAATGAAAAACATGCACATATGAATAATAAAAAAATAAATTAAAAAAAAACAAAATGAAAAACAAACAAACTGACTTAAAAATGGGCAAAGGACCAACTTTTTCTTCTGTTTGCTTTTTTAAAGGTATCTTACCTTCTGGAAGGAGGCAGCATGGCCCATGAAGACTTCTGTGGACATGTTGGTAAAATGAACCCAGGAGACCTGCAGGTATGGCCAAAGACAAGGACTTTCCCATGGTTTTGTTGTCTTTGGGTGTATATGCTTGATCACACCCATTTCCAGAACCTTCACCCTTTCTGCCCTCTGGGTGTTTTATCTCCGACTTCACCCTTTCTATGGATTCTTCCACTCAGCCTGGAAATTGACACAGGCTTCTTATGTTCCTCTCTCGTGTGTTCTCTGACCCCTCAGTCACTTCTTAGCCTTACCTAATCATTTTCTTTCATTTCTCAAAAGAGTAACCAAGAGTCTCAACTTCCTTTTCTTCCATTCTATTCTTCCACTCACTGAAATCAGAGATGGTCTCTCAGCACTTCCTTTCCAAACCTTTCCTGAAGCTGTGACGATCCAATTTCCAAATTCAGCAACTGTTTCAGTCCTCATCTTTCTAGACCTTTCTGCTGCATTTGACACAATTTACCATTTACATTCCAACTCATTTGCTGGGTTAGGTGTTGTCACTTAAGTCTCAGACTTGTGCACCATATTAATCTTCTCTGAGATGCGTCACCATTAAAATCCGTGGGGAAAGCTTGATGGTCTTTGCCAATTTTCTAAGCAGGAGCTCTGTATCAGGTACTTTCTGGGATTATTTATATATCTTAGGGATAATAAATGCACATACTTGAATAATGGTATTTCAATGAACATAAAGTTAAAAGATGAAAAACAAAAGGACAGAGTCATGGTGAAAAAAATCAACAGTAATCTTTCACTGGAGCAGAACATAAAATGTTTCTGTCTAGAAAGGTAGACATGATTACTAGGTGTCTTGATCGTGGAAGTGGTGACTTCTGTCATTTGCACCATAAGACTGCCTCTGCAGACATACACATGAGGTGCTGGCCAACATTTCTACTATTACAACTTCACATGTGTGAGCTGGGCATGGTGATACATGCCTATAAACCTAGCACTTGGGAGGCCGAGGCAGGAAGACCATGAGTTAGATTAGAGGCCATTCTGGGCTACATAGTGAGACTCTGTCTCAAAACAAACAAATTAAAAAAAAACCCTTCACATTTGTTTAGGATAATGATTGCATAGTTTCTTTCAGTTTATTCATCATTTTCATATTTGTAAGATAAGTATAATTTTTATAATTTTAAAAATGAGGGGATAAGAGTTCAGACCAGGTGGCTCATGCCTATAATCTCAGCTACTTGGGAGGCAGAGATCAGGAGGATAGCAGTTCAAGGCCAGCCTGAGCAAAAAGTTAGTGAGACCCACATTTCAACCAATAAGTTGGTGATGGTAGCAGACCTGCCATCCCAGCTGCTTAGGAGGAGACCCTATTTGAAAGCTAACTTAAGCAAAAAGGACTGGGGGTATAGCTCAGGTGGTAGAGTACCTGCCTAGGCAAGACCCTAAGTTTAAACTCCAGCACTACCCCGACACACACAAAAAAATTAGGGGACAGGAATTTAAAGGTGTTAAAAAATAAAAAGATTCCCATGCTGCCAGAGTTAGTAAATGGTGAGGACAGAAAGAGAGCCCTGTTTTCCCTTCCAAATCCAATGGACAGGCCATTTTAAGAATGGTATTGCCAAACTACATAGTATCTAAAAGGTTAACAAAGACATCGAAAATATGGGGAGATGAACTGTTCATGAAACAGAAAAATGTTTAAAATGGGGAGATGTCTTTGAGGAACACCAATAGCTATTGCCAGATAGAAAAAAAATGGATCTGTACATTAGAAGCTGTAATCAGTCTTATCAACTGTTAGATAGACAAAAATTTATTTAGACTTAGTGAAGGGAAAAACATCTCTAAAATATGTGCCAGCCCTCTTTTAGGTTCTTGTCTCAGGGCCTTTTTTGCATCCTTCTGTGTACTGTGTATGGAAATTGTCTACCTTTTCCCCTTCCCTTAGACAGTTATTACTCTGTTTTGGTCTCAGCCTGAAGATTGCACCATCAGGTAAGGTGACTTGAGCCATTTCTTGTGCTGTCATAGAACCCTGTCATTCACAAGTCCAAGCACAATGTGAAGAATTATATTGTGCAATTGTTTCTTTGAGGATCTTTCCCTCTATAAGGGCAGGGTGGAAGATGCTGTTGATGGCCTGCCCATGTCTGAATTTGGGTGGTGGCAGTTCCCATGTGTGTACACAGCACTCCAGTTCCAGTGCTGATACTCTCCCTGAGGTCTTTCTCCAGCCCATGATCTGGGCAGCCTGGATGTGCCAGGGATTTCACACTTCATGGGAACTCTTGGTCACTGAGGGATGGGAATTGGGATCTAAATGCCCTAGCTTCCTCTCTCCTTTATGCAATCATTCCAAAGTCTATCTACTTGGTCCTCAGTGGGAATGAATCCCAGGTGTCCACAGTGTAAACCACTCAGTTTAACACCCTGCTTTGGCTTTCTCCCTTGCCTGTCTCACTCTCCCCGACTCCCTCACTCTTGCTTTCTGCATCACTTTTCAAATAAACTACCTGCAGATAGGTCTTTGTTTCAGGATCTTCTATGGGAGAACCTAAGCTAAGACGAGCAGGAAATATATCTATCATATTTATCCCTTCATCCCCAGATTCTGAGGTTAGTGTCTGGAGCTGGCCTCTAATATGCTCTTAATAAAAAAATAAATAAACACTTAAAAATCTGCTCAACACTGGAGGCAAGTTGTTATTTCTCAAAGTAGTGGGGGCTCCATTACTGGAATTGAGCAACCAGAGGCACAAGTCAACCACCTGCAGTGTAGTGGATTCTGAGGGCCTCCACATGTGTGTTTTGACCCGCACATGCATCCTCCAGCTGGTGGCCATACTGTCTGCTGATGGCTCTTGCTGCATCCCTCCCTGGGAACTGCACTGTGGCAGGAAATTGCCTTTCCCAAAGGTGTGTTTCCTACTCAGTGGTGGCCTATGATCAATGGCTTGCTGACGTTGGGATGGATATAAAAGCCTGATCACCTTCCCTCAACTTGGGAAAATCCTGAAAGTTCATCCCAACTCTAGAGCTCCCTGTTGGATTGGCTTAGGCCTGTGTTGTGACTGTATTGCTGCTTGGCTTCTCTCCTGCCCAACACTGCTTTTTTTTTTTTCACTTAATCATATGTCCCAGGAGCACAACCCAATATACTACCTGTCTACAACTCCCCATCTTGGAATTTAAGCTAAGACTTGGGGATATCACAGAGAGGATTCTTCCACTTGCACGAATTTCAGTTCTGATGCTTTGATTTCAAATGAGGAAGCATTTAGAAAACTGGAAAGAGCTTGAGCAGTCGTCACTGATGTTTGCTATTTCTCACGAGGACTCTGCCAGCATCACCTGCAAGATGCCTCACTTGGTGATGGTGCTGTAATTGTCCCATCTGCAGAATTGAAGGAGCTGAGTTACATTTTCCTTTTTGTTGGTTTGGTGTTTTCAGTGGATGACTGCAGGCCGGGGCATTCTACATGCTGAAATGCCTTGCTCAGAGGAGCCAGCCCATGGATTACAACTATGGGTTAACTTGAGAAGCTCAGAGAAGATGGTGGAGCCTCAGTACCAGGAACTGAAAAGTGAAGAAATCCCTAAACCCAGTAAGGATGGTGTGACAATTGCTGTCATTTCCGGAGAAGCCCTGGGAATAAAGGTAAGCCATGCTCCTGTGTGTCTGTGAAATGTGAGGTGTACAGTGACAGAAAGCCGGTCCCTTCTACATTATCAAATTCTTACTGGGTTTATTGTAGTTTGCATCCAAGGGATGGACACAGAGTAAGCACAATCTAAAGGAACCTAGGGATTTTTTTGCTGCACAAAAAATCCATACAGTTAGGAAAATTTCAAGAAATTATGCTCCTATAAGGAATTTGATTGAAAAGGCAATTTTCAAGGTATACCTTAATATACATGCAGATTTACCCTAATTCTTTTCACCGATAGTGCAATTTTATGTTTTGAATTATAACTCCTTGGTGCTGCAAAGTACCCGCCTTTAAGAAACATACAAAACCCAGGACCAATTCCACTCCATAAAGATTTATGTAAATTATTTATGCCCCTCTTAGTAAGGAGAGCACACTACTAAATGACAGAAAAGTATTTTTTAAGATTAACTTGACCTAGCTATGACATATTCTGTAGATTCTTCTTCACCAAGACTTTATACTATTATGTTTAAGGTCCCACATTTCTTGTGAAATAAAATCAATTTAGGCTAAAGATTATGGGCGTATTTGTGGGAGGAAAGGGGTGTGGCAAGGGTTATTTAACTGCACACCAGAACTGTTGGCTGGGTTCTGGCTACGATGCCTCAGGCCTGGCCAATTTGAAGTAATGGTGAACTGGGTAATGGGCTGTTATAGGTGGGGATTTTCAGAAGCAGACTCTGAGATGCACATTCCTGTGCAAGAGATTTTAAAGGAAGTGCTCCTAGGGGAACAGGAAAAGGAAACAGGACAAAGCCAGGAGGAAGCCAAGCAGGAGTGCCAGCTCAAGCAAAGTCCTGAAAAATAGTGGCTTTAACCTGATCCTGTTGCAGATGGTGGAGGATCAGTACCCACCCTAGGCAAAGGAGATGGGCTTTCATGCTCCCCTGCCTAATGGTCATTGGTTTGGCCATTGACTTTGGAGTGGGAGGGATGACACAGAAACTGTTAAAAGTGATCCAAGGGGATCTGTGAGGGACCTGGACACATGGTACCTGGCAGTGACAGCATTGGAATATTGGGAACTACTTTGCTATTTTCCCAGTGGAGAACAGCACTTGAAACTATTTTAAAATTAACATGTAAATTCTAATTTTTTTATTTGCATCTGTAAGAATAGTCACTTGGCATTGGCTGCACACTGACCACTCAATGGGACATGCTACATGGTTAACAGGTTTGTTATGGTTGTTGGTTGGGGCTTACCAGTTTTTCTTTATCCTGCATTATAACCACAGTCCTTTACCTTATTGTCTGTAAGTGAATGTAAGTGAATTTTTGCTTTGTGTTTCCAGTGCACACAGAAATAATTGAAGAAAATGTTTGCTTCCTATTAGGCATGTCTGATTGCTGTCCACACTCCAGCAGCACTTTGTAGTTGGCGATGACCTTATTTTGTGCTTCTGTGACCCATTTCTGTTTCACTGAGCATTGAGCATAGCCTTTTCAGCTGTTTGTGAAGTTTCCTCTTCTTCAGTCTCCAGAAGAGTTAAGATCCTGTGAGGTCTTCTGGTATAAGGTCAAAGGACACCATGGGGTATAGCCTCAGGCCAGAGGTCTAAGGGATGCTGAATTAATGCCCACTCTGTCTCATTATGTGCTTCCAAGACTCTAGGGGTCTAGGGACATGCCTTCAGGAGAAACTGAGGTGGGTGGTGGAGGGCAGGAGGTTCCCCCACCACTTCAACCAAAGCACACACTTTGTTCAATTGCATAGGTTGGAATTGTCTGTAAGATTTCATTTAGAAAAAGAATTGATCTGTCTGCAGCTAAGAAGAGAAATCAGACCCGTGATTTAATAGATAAGCAAAGCCAGCAAAATCACGAATCCTTGGAGTTCACAACTGCTTTTCATTTATAGAAAACACAAGGCAATTTTAAGGTTGAAGCTGGTTCCAATTATAGCAGAAGGACATTTTAAAGCACTTTCAAGCAACAGACCATGTGGTGTTGCGATTATAAGCAAGGATTAGAGACCAGAGGTAATGTTTTAACTTTGTGAAATAATGTCGTGGTAGCTTCTGGCCTCTGTTATTTCTTTTTGTCAAGTAAAATCTCTGAAGTGAATTATATCTCTAAGTAAATGATCAGTGTTTATTTTCAGAGCATTTTAATAATAATGGCCTCTTGGAACTTTGAGCAGCATTAATTTGGATTTCCAGAAGGAGCGTGAGTCAGTGATTACCTGTGTGGACTCTGGAGACAGACTGCCTCTTAGAATTCCTACCGTGAGCTAGCTGTGTGGCCTTGAGTAAACCATTTACCTTCTCTGTGGCTCGGTTTCGTCATTCATAAAGTAGAATTTCCGTGGGGATTAAGAGACATTTCATACTTTAAGTTCTCAGAATAGTATCGGCCACATTGTAAACATTGCATAAGCGATAGCTGTCACGATTATTCTTAGGATTACTTTGTGTTAACTTGGGCAGGAATCAGGCTGGCATTTATGTTTGCTATCTTTGCTAAAGGCATTTGCTGCCATTTGGGAAAGGTAATTAACTTGCTCTGAAGAAGTGACACCAGTGTGAGTCATTGTAGAAATGAGGTCTATTGACTATTTCTTTGTAAGTCTGTTAAGAGACATAGTTTTGCACATTTGAAGCCTTGATATCTTCTCACCAATGAATGACTTGATCTTAAAAGGTCTAGATCTACCATAAAACACACTGAAGATTGTTTTGAGCCAGGAAGAAAATTTTTGTTTTGGTGGTACCGAGGTTTGAACTCAGGGTCTCACACTTGCTTGGCAGATTACTCTGCCTCTTGAGCCACTCTGTCAACCCCATACCAGGAAGATAATTTTAAGTTAGATTACAAAGTGTAATCAAGGCACCACTCTCTCTCTCCCTTTTTTTTTTTCTGGTGCGACTGGGGTTTGAACTCAGGGCTTTGCACTTGTAAAGCAGACATTCTACTGCTTGAACCACACCTCTAATCCATTTTACTCTGGTTATTTTGGAGAGGGGGTCTCATGAGCGATTTTTCCCAGCCTGGCCTCAAATCGTGATCCTCCTGATCTCAACCTCCCATGTAGCTAGGATTATAGGTGTGAGCCATGGGCACCTGGCTGGTTACCACTCTTTGTAGTCTCTTGAATAGGTGTGCCATTTGAGACAGGGAACTGTACCCATTGTGAGTAAGGTCTATTGAGTTTGTATGGAAGATGTTAAATCCTGTGGCTTTTGGCAAATCTTATTTAATATTTCTGGACTTAAGAAAAAAAAGGTGAGGGAGGGCTCATGTAAGATGCTGTAGGCTTTTCAAGCAGCAAAACTGTCTTTTTGATATTCCCAAAGGTGGCTGTATCCCTGCTTCCCAGGTTATATGTGTTGAGTATTTATTCAGTCCTTGGAAAGACATAGCCCATTTTAAGCAAGATTCTGTCAGGACAGCACAGTTTACAGTGAAGGCTGAAAACGGAGAAAAGAAAAATGGGATAGTTTGAATAGTTTCTGTCACTTTTGGAAGGTCATAATCACATGTTTATTTCATGAGAATATGCAATTCTCCAAACCCCATTCCATCCTTATCAGTCAGCCAATCAGCTATATATATTGCCAACTCTCTGTGGAACACAATTCCTTGTCCCCCCCCCACCCTCACCAAATGCCTCTGCTTGCCTCCTGCTGCTCTAAATTCCTTTATGTCAGAAGGAAACCTTGAGGAGGTCCAGCCCCATTGAGGTCAGAGAAAGGCAATCTGGAGCCAGATGGCCTGGGTTCAAGGCCAGCTATACCACCAACTCTTGTTGGAGAACTCAGTCACACTTTTGACTTCAGTTTTCTAATCTATAAAATGGAGATGCCTCATGATTTAGCTCAGCGTTTCTTTGTGGAGATTACATTGATTAACATATGTAAACTAGTTCAACAATGCTTGGCACATAGTAATCCCTGTATAAGGGGGTGCTATTTTATTTCATTTCCAAAGTTTTAGGCAGTGTTCATGTGGCCTACACACACAACAAGAAGGATCTTCCTTTCGATGGGCATATGGTGTATTCATGTATTGGATGATGAGTAAATTTTTAAAAATTCAATTTCCAAAATTACATCTCATATAATTTGCTCACATCATTTTTCATTCTACCTGTGTCTCTATTTCAGGGGAAATTTGACTTCTTGGAGTCTGTCCTGTGCATTTTAAATGGAGCTCTCCCCCCCACCCCCCACCTGTCCTGAGCTTGCTGCTGTTCCCTTGGTGATGCGGACAGAGCTGCACCTCCCAGGAAGGCACAGCTTCCTATGCTTAGAAGTACACTTTTGCAAAGCAGCATTGAAAAAAAACCCAATTACATCTTAAAAACAGTTAGCCTATGCCCAGACTTTGTCTTTTTCCTTTCAAGTATTCCAACAAGTTCATGGGGCTAGCTTAAAAAATATGACAAACATTCCCCTAATGGCAGAAGTTGAGTGGGGCAGTGGATTTCTGACAAAGAGAGCTTGAGAGAATGGGCTCCAGCTGTCTCAGGGAACAAGCAAAGGCAAAACAAAATGCTTCCTCAGGAAGGAGTCCTCCCTTCCAAAGACCTCTCTGTTCATTTATTTTATTTATAAATCAGAACACTTGCGATAGATTATCAAAGCTATGGATATAGATCTGTGGATATTTAACAAATGTTCCCTTTGGAGTGTGAGTGGGTGGATAAGGATAAGCTTGCTTTTAATTTTGAAAGATTGAAATGTTTACATATTTAAAACATCAAGTTAAACCAGAAAAGAGGAAAAAACCAAATCTTCCAATTAAAAAAAAAAAGCCAGAAACAAAGAACCTAAAATTGGAATAAAGATATCAGCAACATAACCAAACAGAGAAAACATTTATTTTAAGAGTCTTTAAACATAATTCTCTGGCTATGCATTTTTGTGAGTTACAGTCCAAAGACCAAAGGAATGCTCCCCCAAATTTAAGCTTCACAGTGTAGTTATATTGTTAGGGTTGATAC